GAGGGACAGAGATAGAGAGTTTCAGATCAGATTCAGGGAGGGAGGGAGGGAGGGAGGGAGGGAGGGAGGGAAGGAGGGAGGGAGGAGACGAGGGGAGAGGAGACAAGAAGGGTAGGAGAACCCGTCACTCGTGATTTAGATCCGTGCCCTGATACATCATCCTCACCTGGAAATGTATATGCTATCGTGCTGATGCCGCTGATTCCTGATCGCCGTTCTCTTGTGCTCCCATCGATTTGTCTTGTCATCCAGTTTCCCCCCTCGTGCTGAATGTTCCTGCGCAGGACGTGTGTGAAAGAGATCGAAACTCCCCCTCGCCTCCTCTTCCTGCCAGCGTCTCGTCGTCATGGGGGCGAACGGGCGGCAAGCAAGATCAGCAAAGAACAGGCTCAAAGCGAATCGAGTGAACATCTCGAAGGGCCTGTTGAACATCAGCCTACCGGCAACATGCCCCGTCCGTCATGAAGACATCAGGCAGCTTGTGAATGGGGACTCTGCCCTGAACCAGCTCTGCGCTCTCAAGGCGATCGGTGAGAGGAGGAAGTTGTGTCAGCATGCTTGTCCTGTTGTAAGGCCGCGATGATGACTCTGACGTAACCCATGTCCTCTGAGCTGTATCATGAAGTCACTTCTTGCGTCACTGAGCGGCATTGCTGCTCGTCTCTGCGTGCCTTGACGGCTTTCACTGCATTCTGATCTCCTTCCTTGCAGTCTCGTCGCTGGGAAGCTCCAAGGAGCAGCCCTCGATCTCGCCGGAGGTCCCGGGGTTGCTGGAGATCTCAGAGGCGGTTGTGAGCATCTTTCCATGCGGGGGGAGCAAGCTGTTGCACGATGAGATCAAGAAGTTCATTCTGGTACGTGAAGTTGTGTTGAGATGTTGAGATGAGAGGTTGAGTTGAGATGTTAAGTTGAGATATTAAGTTGAGATGTTCTAGTGAGAAGTTGTCTTGAGAAGTTGTGTTGTGATGATAATGGACATGGAGATGATGATGATGATGCTGAGGGAGATGATGAGGAATACGATTCGCACTTCTCCTCACGTACCACCCTCCAGGCTCTCCCTCCCTCCATTTCCCAGCCGGCCATCTCGAAGTTCGTGGAGCAGATCCTGTCGCAGAGGGGACCAGAGGTCCTCCTGTCCCTCGGAGTTCTGAGCCACGTCTCATCAACGCATCCCATCCTCAAAGAAAATTTCAAGAGCATTCTCGACCTCCTGTCGTGCATCCTCAACGATCTGAACGAGGCCCTCCTGCAGACTCACTCCAGCAGCGTCAAGGCGGAGGTCAGCAGGATCATCTCGCAGGAGGAGAGAAAGGAGGAGGAGAGTGGTGAGAAGGGCCCGTTGGAGGAGGAGCAGCTGCCCATGTTCGAGCCGGAGATGCTCTGCTTCTGCATGCACGCTCTGAAAGATTTCTTCTCCGCCGTTGAGGATCGAGTGATCGAGACGATCTCACGCGCGCTGACGAGGCAGCAGAAGGAGGGAGAGGACGACGATGTCGGAGCTTTCCTGGGGCTAGTCAAGATGCTCGTGAAGATCCTTGAGAATGACGGGGCTCAACGAGACGCTTTGACCCCAGCTACCATCCTCCTCTGCTCGTTCGTGCAGAAGTCCAGCAAGGACGCCGCGTCTGTGTCGCTCCAGTTTGCGGGGCTGAGCGGGAAGGTGAAGCTGAAGGAGAAGCAGGTGGAGGAAGCGTTCAAGGACAGGAAGCCTTTCCTTCCCCTGCTTCACCTCCCCGGCTTCGTCCCCGTGGAGTTCGAGAGGCTGTCAAAGTTCGGACAGCAGGCGATGCTGAGGGGAATGCTGAGCGCTGGGGACAAGCGGGTGCTGCTGGAGCCGATGGAGGTCGGGGAGGGGAGGAGGAGCTCCCTCCTCTTCTCCCTCCTCTTCGACCTGATCTGCCTGCAGAGCTCGGAGACAGCTGACCTCTTCCTTGTGTGCTACGGCCTGCAATCCTTGTCTTACGCCTTTTCCCTCGCCAAGGATGTGCTCAGGACCTTCTTCAAGGAGATCGACGAGCGAGGAGGAGGAGGAGGAGGAGGCTACCCGTGCTCTTCATCGACCGTGGAGGAGATGTGTAAGAAGGGGATAGATCTGTTGTGGCCGCATTGTGAGGACCCGTTCCAAGGGATCGCGGACCAGACCAAGGCGATGTTCGAGCTCATAGTCGATCTTCTGGAGCTTGCACGCTCCCTCCAGAAGCTGGAGGGAGGAGGAGGGGAGGGAGGATGGAGATTGGAGGAGGAGGAGAGGAGACAGCTGTTTCATCCCCTTCTGCAGCTGGCGATGACTGTGAAGCGAGACAGGAAGGCAAGGTACCGCGTTCTGTTTGCCCTCGTTCCTAAGGTCGGAGTTGAGGGACTCCTCTCCTCCTTCTCCTCGTTCGCGCACGAGCTGCTGGCCGCCATGAGGGATCAGAGCGTTGGTTCGTGCTCGTCTTCCTTGCTGGAGGCCATGTTGCTGGAGGGAGAGAAGAAGGAGAGGAAGGAGGAGGAGGCGAAGGCGGGGAGGAGGAAGCCGTGGTGGATGAAGCCGCTGGTGGAGGCGATCACGAGTAATGACGTCAAGCTCAGAAACGCCATGTGCAGCTACGCGCTGCCAGTCCTTGCGCGGGTGCTGCCCAAGAGCATGGAGATGCTGTTTGAGGAGCTTCAGGAGGCTCCTGCCGGAAGGAGGGAGGGAGGCGGAGGAGAAGGAGAGCAGGAGGAGGACGAGAGCTTGTGGGCGATGACAGCAGTGATCAAGGTTGCGAGAAGGACGGGAGTTGGGTCGGAGGAGATGCTGAGCGTGAGTTCGGAGGGGATGGTTCGCTTCCTGCGTCGGGCGCTGTCGCACGTCGAGGACGACATGCGGCTCAACGGGCTGGAGATGATCTGCATGCAGGCGAAGCAGACGGAGGCGGCGACAAGGAGGGAGGTGGAGCTTGTACAGGACTTCCTCCTCCTCAACATGAAGTCCTCCTCCTCCCACTACCGGCAGCGCTGTATGGAGCTCCTTAAGAAGTTCTTCACTCGCATCAGGATCAGCAGCCAGCACATCCTGACGCAGGCGAGGAAGGCGGAGAAGGGGACGAGGGACGAGAAGGGGAGGAAGATAGAGCGCCCGGACGAGGACAGGGTCAGGATCGTGCGGGAGGGAGAGGACTTCCTGTGCTGGCTGGTGGGAAACATCTCCTCCTCCCTCTTCCCTGGCTCCTCCTACGAGCGCGGCATAATGGCCCTAGAGCTCCTGGTGACGGTCATTGACGTGTGGCAGCCGAGGGCTGCAATGCATCCTGACCCCGCGCTGCTGGGGCTGACTGTGACGGAGGAGCAGGAGAGCAGGATCGCGTCCTCGCTCTTCACAGAGGAGGCAGTGAACGCTGTGATCAACGCAGTGGTGAACAGCTTCGATCATGTTAGGAAGCAGGCGCTGGAGGTTCTCCTTCGCTTCCCTGCACCTCTCCCTGGGCTGGAGACCGAGGAGGAGGTCAAGAAGCTGGCGAGCTGGGCGCAGAGTCTCATTGCCAGCCCTCGAGCGAGGGAGAGCGACGCGGGAGGTCTCATTCTCAAGGTACTCACTCCTCCCTCCCTCCCTCCCTCCCTCCCTCCCTCCCTCCCTCCCTCCCTCCTCCCTTCTTCCCTCCTCCTTCCTCTCTCTTGGATGTCTCCGTCCTGCTCCCTACTCTCACTTCCTCGACATGCTCTTGCTCTCTCCCCGTCTACTTCCCCAGTCTCCTCCTCCTCCTCACCCCTTCCTCCTCACCTCCTCCTCGCGTTTCTCATCGTTGCTTCTCGGCAGGTGATTCACCTCAAGTACGTCAAGCAGCTCGGCTGGTTGGGAGACCCCTGGAGGTCCAGCGAGGAAGTGAACGAGGCGAGGAAGCAGTACCCCCACCCCTCCGTCTTCTTCATCCATGAGCTGCTCCTGGAGGTGGACCGGGTCATATCAGCCGCCCGCACGAGCTTCGAGTCCACCTTCTCTTCCAGCTTCGCCCAGGGCCTCCTCCTCGCCCTCCGCCACCTCCTCCCCGACATCGAGCTCCCGTCCGCCATCTCCATCGAGCGCGGGGACACCAGCGCGGAGCAGGTGGAGGAGTGGAGGAGGATTCTGCAAGAGATGCTTCACCGCATGCGCCTGCTCTCCATGATCTGCGTCGGCGCCATGGCCGGCTGCCCCCCAGAGCGGGTGGGAGGAGAAGGAGGAGGAGAGAAGCCTGTGGTGGTGGGAGGAGCGAGTGTGTCGACGGGTCTCTTCGGCTCCATGTACAGGAAGGCAGAGGACGGGAGAAGCATCAGTACCCCACACTCCGTCCAGAGGGACACGCTCGCTGCCACCCACAGGAACGTGAACGTCTCCTCCTCCTCCTCCTCCTCCTCCTCCTCCCTTGCGTGCCCGCAGCACACGCATGTGGAGAGCTTGATGGAAGAGATGACGCTGGGAGGAGGAGGAGACGAGGACGACGAGGAGGCTCGTCTCGCGCGGCTGGGGCCCAAGGAGCAGCTGCTGGTAGTGAGCTGCTGGCTGACGCTGAAGGAGGTGGCGCTGAGCGTGGGGATGCTGGTGAGGGTGTTCCAGGAGGAGGAGGAGAGGTTCCTGCGGAGAGAGCAGATCATCGAGAGCGGCAACCTCCTCCTCGACATCATCTTCTCCACCCTCCACAACGGCGCCATCGAGAAGGCTCGGCTGGGCTTCCAGCGACTCTGCCAGCAGCTCCTTCGCAGCCAGAGGAGCAGAGTTCGTTTCCTCCCCTCCGAGTGGCTCGACCGGCTGCTCGAGCGGCTGTATGACCACGACGTCCCCGTGGTCAGGAGGAGCTCGCAACTCTCCTTCTCCATCCTCGCCGTCCTAGACGCCGAGCTGCCCAACTCCAAGAGGACCCTGCTGGAGCGGACTATGCTCTTTCTCCTCGCAGCTGCCGACGGCAAGCCTCCCCTGCGGTGATCCAGGAGTCCGAGGAGGGACGGGTGGCGGAGAAGCTCAAGGACGAAGGAGGGGTCCTGCGTGCTCGGGTGCACGCGTTGAACATCCTGCGACACATCTTCCTGGACACGACCCTGTCGAAGGAGGTTTCTGCCTTCCTCCCTCCTGCCATCTCGTCCGCCATCTCCGGCTTTGGCGCCTCCTCCTGGGCCGTCAGGAACTCTTCGACCCTTGCGTTCTCCGTCCTGCTCTCTCGCTCCATGGGCGGGGCCCACCAGCGCAAGGCCTTCGGGGCTGGCGAGTTCTTCCTGCGGTACCCCAGCCTCTGCCCCGACCTGCTCGCCCGCCTTGCGGCGGCGACGGAGGAGGAGGAGGGGAGGAGGAAGAGGAGCGAAAGCTCGTCCTCCTTCCACCCGGAGCTCCAACCCATCCTCGTCCTCCTGGCTCAGCTCGCCCCTGCCCTCCACGTTCGAGACGACCAGGCGCATCTGCAAGGGTTCATCGTGCTCGTCTCCCGCTGCCTCCTCTACGCCAACGCTATGGTAAGGAGGATGGCGGCAAGAGCTCTCCTGCCCTTCGTCCCCGTCCAGTCCGTCCCCTCCTTCATCCGGGACCAGCTGCTCGGGAAGATTCCTCCTCCTCTCCCTCCTCCTCTCCCCGCCTACAACCGGCACAACCTCGTGCAGGGCATGCTTGAGGCTGCCCGTCAGATGGTGGAGGCGCAGACGAGGAAGGAAGAGGGGTGGTCAGACCTGATAGAGTCGCTGAAAGGGAGGGGTGATTGGCACCTCCTGTGTGAGGCTCTGCAGGAGAAGCTAGCGGCGCTGGAGGACGAACGGGTCCCTCCTCCCATCCGGATGACCCTCCTCAAGGTAGTCGACGACCTCGTGTGGGCTCCGAGCGGCAGGCTGGTGCAACAGGAGGAGGAGGAGGAGGAGGAGCGGGGAGGAGCAGGGAATGAGCGAAGGTGTACGGGGGCGTATGAGCTGAGGGAGGCGGCGGCTGGAGCATGCAGGAGGCTGATAGCAAGAGAGCGGGAGGAGCCGCATGCTCCGATGCTCTTCTCCTTCCTCGGCCAGGCCAGCCGCTTCCTCGTCCGCCACCTTGTGCTCCGGCTGCAACAGAGGAGCAGCAAGAGGAGGAGCAACGAGAAGGGAGAGGAGGAGGAGGAGGAGATCTTGCAAGAGGTGATGGGCCTGTGCGAGCATGGGATGTATGAGGTGCGGTGGATGGCTCTGCGAGGGTTGAAGGAAGGGATCTTGGGGAGGAGAGGTCTGAAGTTGAGCAGCGGGAGGGCGAAGAGGAGGATCCAGCAGCGGCTGCTGCAGCGGCTGCAGGAGGAATCCAACCATCTGTGCAGGAGAAAGCTCCTCCGCCTGCTGCTGAGCCTCGGGAAACTGCAGGAGGAGAGCGTGGCGGTGAAGGAGGGGGGGGAGGAGGTGCCAGTGTGGACCTGGTTGTCATCCATCCAGCGATCGACGGACGTCAAGAGCAGCGAGCGGGCGCTGGCGATGTCAGGAGAAGTCCTCTCTGCTCTGCTCCGCGGGAACCGATGGAAGCAGGGAGGAGGAGGAGGAGGAGGAGGAGGAGCAGCAGCAGGCAGTGCAGTTAGGAGGATGCTGGAAGAATGGATCGTGATGGTGGAAGAGAACTCGCACGAGGCGATGCACGTGGACAGCAGGATCTCAGCAGTGGACGCGCTCTCCCGCTCAGACTTGCTCTGCTGCTCCCTGGACGAGGACCACGAGCTGCTCCCCCTCCTCCTGCGCAGCTGGCTGGTAGCTCTGACCCTCCTCCAGGACGACGACGAGGAGGCGAGGACGAGCATGGCGAACTCTGTCTCGCGCGCCCTCCCCCTCCTCGCACGCGGGCATGTGCAGCCAGCCAAGGCGATCGAGCTTGTGTTCGAGCACCTGAGCGCTAAGGCAGGTGGACACGAAGTGTGGAGGAGGTTTCTACTTGGCAACCTGACGGGGAGGGGAGAGGGGAAGGCGGAGGACGGGCAGGAGCGGGAGGAGGAGGCGGAGGGGGCGGGGAAGCAGCCGGTGGCGGACGAGGTGATGGCAAGGAGGCTGTTCGAGAAGGAGTGCGACAACTTTCAGGCTGAAGCTCTCCTCCTCCTCCAGCTCTCTGCCCGCAGTGCCGCATCGCTCTCTCCTCCTCTGCCCCTCGGAGACGTCGCCGCCTGCATGGCCCGGCTGGAGGAGCTCGTGGGGACCCTGCGGGGGCTGGGGAAGAGCTCGTGCTGGGTAGGGGAGTGAGCAGCAGGATGGATATCTTTCTCGAGATGTACAGGAGGGTGCTGGCGGTGATGGTAGCACGAGGAGGAGGAGGAGGAGGGAGGAGGAGGAGGAGGAGGAGGAGGAGGAGAGGTGGAGAGGTGGAGCAAGATCATGAAGGAGGTCAAGGAGCTCAACGCGCACCCGTTGCTGGTGAACGCGATGGAGGAGGTGGCGGGGAGGAGGGAGGAAGAGAGCGGGAAGCACAAGCTCCCCATCCTCTTCCTCGTCTCGCGTGACCTCTGAGAGTTTCTGCTGCTCGTCTTTGAGTGAAATTTACAAATCAAGCGACATGCCCGTTGGTTGAAAAGCTTCTTCTTCCTCCCGTCACTCTTACCCTTGCTCATGCTTGACGACATCCTTCCCAACTCTCTTCCCATCTCCTCCTCCAGCTCCTGCTCCAGCTCCAGCTCCTGCTGCTCCTCCTCCTCCAGCTCCAGCTCCAGCTCCAGCTCCAGCTCCAGCTCCAGCTCCAGCTCCAGCTCCTGCTCCTGCTCCTGCTCCTGCTGTAGCTCCTCCAGCTCCTCCTGCTCCTCCCCCTCCTGCTCCAGCTCCAGCTCCTTCGGCTCCTCCTGCTCCTCCCCCTCCTGCTCCAGCTCCAGCTCCTTCGGCTCCTCCTGCTCCTCCCCCTCCTGCTCCTGCTTCGTTGTCGGCGTCGACCTTCACTTGAGTTTCTTTCGAAGGGCCTCATACCTCGCGCTCGCTTCTTTCATCTCCCTCATATCCGGCAACGTCATCCTCTCTGCCGCAGCTTCAGCACTCCTCCTCCTCCTCCCTCCTCTCCTCCTCCCATCCTCCTCTGCTGTCGTGGACCGCCCCTCCCCCCCTTCCTCTCTCCCCTTGGCTTCCTCCTTCCTCCTTCACCTTCCTTCCTCCTCCCCTTCGTTCCTGCTCCCTTCTCTCCTCTTCGTTCGTCTCCTTCCCATCCACCCCCCTCTCCTCCCGCTTCTTCCTGAATCCCAACCTTCATCTTCCATGTCCACATCCTCCTCCCCTCGCTTCTCCTCCACCTCCTTCTCCTCACCATGGATGTAGCTGCTGTTCCACTTGGGTCGAATCCTCATCGTCACTTTCTTCCCTCCAACCTCGTTGAGCTTGCTGAGCGTCGCGAGCGCCTCATGGCAGAGCGAGTCGCTGGTGCCTCGCGAGTTGAGCAGGTTGATGACCTGACGGCAGTTGAGAAGAAGAGGTAGATGATGATGATGATGATGATGATGATGATGATGATGATGATGATGATGATGATGATGATGATGATGATGATGATGATGATGATGATGATGATGATGATGATGATGATGATGATGATGATGATGATGATGAAAATGATGATGCTGAGGAAGCTGATGAGGATGATGATGAAAGTGATGATGCTGAGGAAGCTGATGAGGATGAGGATGAGGATGAGGAGGAGGAGGATGATAATGATGAGGAGAGAATTGTCTTACAGCATTCACAGGACAGTGAACCACGTATTCGTTGTTTCTGAGTGCGGCGAGCGCCGGGTTGTCTTTGCTGCTGGCGATGGCGCGAAGTGCTCGGAGGACTCGAACCTGAAGATCCTCGTCGTCTGAATGCTGAAGGAAGAAGTCAGGACGGAATGCGAAGGAGAGGAGGAGAGACGGGGCAGGGGAGGAGTAGATAGAGGAGAGGAGGAGAGGAGGAGAGGAGGAGAGGAGGAGAGTGAGAGAGATGAACTGGGGAAACGAGGGATCAGGAGCAGGGGAAGAACGGAGAGAGGAGAGGAGCAGGAGGAAAAAAAGAGGAGCAGGAGGAGGAGAAGCAGCAAGTTTGAATTTGCATGCACTCACCTTCTTCATCGCTGCCACTAGAACCTCGACCGTTTGTCTGCTGACATTGAGGCTGAGAAACTTGAAAGTGGAGAGGTTGCCAAGGGCAGAAGAAGCCTGAAGTAAGAGTGAGGGGAGTTGAGGGAGGAGGGAGGAGGGAGGAGGGAGGAGGGAGGAGGGAGGAGGAAGGT